CACTTCACTTCATTGTATGTATGCAACAGCATTCAACTAAAATTATTCTGAAAAAAAGATGTCCATGTATAGTGTCCAGTGTGATTTGTTTGATGTAAGACCCACAAACTAACACAAATCTCAGAACAAGTAAATATAGTTTATTAATATAGCTGGCAGGGCAAGCACTTGCATATAAACAGGGAGCAAACCTCATATTCACATTAATGTTACCTAGTTGGGCAATGAACACGTCTGCAAGCAAAAAACCAAGATCAGAGAGCACCAAGAACTTCACAGTTCAATCCCAAACTACAGATATTCTCTTCTATTGATAAAATTTCTTTTAAAAAATGAATTCTCCCAAAGCTGCAAGATTACTTCCATTTTTGTCATATTGGGCTATAACATTGGAAAAAACTTGGACTGTTGTACATAACTTTGGAAAATACCTATTTGGCAATGATTCTTAAAGAGTTTTAATTGATCAAGGACATTTGCAATTCAGATTATAATTGATCAATATGGCTTCTCCGATTAACCTCCATCAATTTCAGCAACTGTGTTAAAATAGTGCAGCCAAGCTGAGGTTAGTTCTCTGAGATATGGACTTTAGAAAATAGTACAAACAAGTACAAGGAGTCCTCAAACTTACAACAGTTCATTCAGTGACCGTTCGAAGTTACAATGGCACTGAAAAGAGTGGCTTATGACTCTTTTTCATACTTAAGACCGTTGCAGCATCCCCCTGATCACATGATCAAAATACAAATGCTTGGCAACTAACTCATATTTATGACATTTGCAGTGTCTCACAGTCATGTGATCACCTTTTGCCACCTTCAGACAATCAAAGTCAATGGAGAAGCCAGATTCACTTAACAACCATGTTACTAAATTAACTATTGCAGTGATTCACTTAACAACTGTGGCAAGAAAGGTCATAAAATGGGGCAAAATTCACTTAACAACTGTGTTGCTTAGCAACATAAATTTTGGGCTTAATTGTGGTTGTAAGTCGAGGACTATCAGTATCACAGTAACTTACACGCACATAAAGAAGGTAACTTGTAAATGTACACTATGTGGTTTCAATTTCTTCCACAAGTATCAAGGATTCCCAATGTATTACGCAAACATGCTTGATAGAATTAAAAAATTAAAAATTAAAAATTAAAAAATCAAAATCAATCAACTAGTAGAAATCAATCAACTAGTAGAATAGACATCAAAATCAATCAACTAGTAGAATAGACATCTGCCACATTTAAGCCTAAAACTGGGCAGTTACAGATTTACAGAACTACTGATGGCCTGCTTCATTAGTTGCTGTTATACTTATGAACTGGCAACGGTATTTAGAACAGTACTAAATCATCTTGTAGGTCAGCAGGAAACTCATTAGGATCAGACAGTCCAAGTAACAGAAGCACTTTCTAAGAGTGCTAAAATAATGGTTTCTTGTGTGAAAGGCTTGCTGGTGCACCTGCATTCCTTGGGGTTTAGCTTTCAGAGAGTTGTTTTTTTTCTACAGGAAGATGGAATTGTTTGTCAGTGGATGTGTGTACTGAAGGATTTTACACATGCCTCAGAATTGGTTGTGACAATGATCCCTAGTCCTTAGATTATTAGATACATTGTGGGGGGGAGGGTGGGAAGAGATAAAAATGGAAAAGAAGGAAATGATGATGGATACTGGTCATAGTTCATAAGAATAGCATCAGCTTAAGCTACAGTGGAATGAAAATAGAATAGCCTTATTTGTATAGCAAACTACTGTATTACTTTAAACGTAGATCATATTTTTACATCTATGATGCATTAGTGTTAGAATTAGAGGAATACTTAAGTATTAACAAATCCTATGATACAAGCTAAACTATTATTTGCCTGTTCAAAGTGACACATTTTGTTAAGAAAGTATTCCTCAGTTGCTATGCAGGGATGAAGTTTCAGTTTCAACCAGTAAACTGTTTCCCCATAACAATTCATGGAACCAGAATTACCACTAATAGTTCTTGTTTTGATTTCTATCACAGTATTTTCCTAGCTCATGGATTACTTGTAAATCACCTTGGATTGACAGGGGTTTAGTGAAATATAAACTGAATTAATCAATAAATAAATTTAGTCATTAATTAGATGGTGGGTGATAAATTTCTGTTTGCTACAAACATTTCCGAAAATAGCAATGGATTATCATATACTTCTTCACTCTTGCAGCAATCTGTAGGGGAGGAGAGCTGGTGGCATGGAGGTTAATACAACTGCCTAGTATGCAGGCTGCCTAGGTTCAAATCCCATAAAGGGTATGGCTAGCTCATAAGAGCTAAAAAGCTTGAAATAGCTATTCTATTCTTTCAGGGGCTGCCACAAAGAAGAGGGTTGCATCTTAACATCTTGTGTTATAATGATATTTGGGAAAGACCTTGGGAAATGGGACAAAGAAGGCTTAAAGGAGATAGTGGGAGAGCTGTACTTTGAGACTTGCAAGATTTTATGTTAATGCAGTTTTACAATAAAGTAGAATCAGCTTATTTGGTCATGTTTCCTGTCTGGTCTACCGGCTAAGGCTGACATGCGTATTTGTTGTGGTAATTAAATCTTTGCAGAAACTACATAAGCCAGCCATGATTGACCGCGAATGTTTCCATGCGCTCCTCACCTGCTTGTTTCTTGTGTTCTGAAAATGTTGCCTGCCTTAGCCTGAATGATAAGAAGCCCAACTGGCATGCTCTTTTGTATCTAATTTTCAGTCCAAAGAATAAGGAGTTTTTTCATTTCCTAATTGAGGCCATTTTGGTGTCTTATATGTGTTATAACTGTTTTCATTCCTGATAATCTTTTTATCACCTCTCTAATCCTTTCCTTGTCCTTCAAAATAGTGGAGATTGTGTAATGGGCCAAATTGTCTTCTCATGCTATAATAATCATCTATAAACTTCATCTTTAAATTGAAACTATAATATTCACATACAATCTTCATCTTCAAATTGAGATCAATGGCTTTTCTTTGCTTTTTGACACTTTTTTCAGCTGAACTATCGTTTTTTCTCTTTGAAGACATCTTGGTATGGGGTATTAATGGGCATAAATAAGTAGATAAACAAAAATAATAGGTTATATGTGATACTAACTATAATAGCAAACATCTGACTGAAAAAGACAGAAATTCTGCAAAGGTCATAAATGCACACAATGGGTGCAAAAATATTTTTTAACCATTATATTTGTGAATGGTTGCTAATCAACTTAGTTGCTATATGAAGAGTAGCTGTAATTTATTCATTCAAATCCGAAAAAACACATTGTTTTGGATCCTGGAACAATTCATTTTCTTCTTGCTCAATTTTACCACAACCATTAAGGTGCTTTTAAATGAACACGTATCAGTGATTAAAACTATCATATTTTCATTATCAGTGGCCGAAGATATGCTATTCTGTGTGTAGGCATGTTTCTATGTAACTGGTGGGAATGTCTGCCCAGCCTGCCTCCTGCTACAATTCTCAGATTCCTTATCCTCTTCTGATAGACTATAAGATACCTTCACATCTGAAGTTTATTGAGAAATAAAATAGGAATCACAATATTGGCATATAAAAACTTCTGATAAAAAAGAAAATGCTTTTTGAAAGTTATAAATAACTCATAACTTAATTCAGGATTCTCACATAATTCTATTTCAATTAAGAAAGGAAAGAAAAATGTCAAGCACAGAGGCTGTACAAGCTGTACAAATCTTAACTTGTACTGAATTTTTAATAGTTTTGCACAAAAATGTATTATAATTGGTATAACTTACCTGCCATGATGGGGGAAACGTAGGTGATGAAGCGATATTTACAACAGGAGGGTCTAATATTTGCATATTTGTTACATCAAAGTTGGGATTTATCTGTTGAAAAATAGATTTGCTATTATTCTGTTATTAAAAATTAAAGATTGAATGCTTAAAATATACATGATATATTTAAATATTTAAGAAAAAAATTCAGGATATATTTAGGGAAAAAAAATCATACTCACAACAGGTTCCTTACTTTTTTCTTACAGTTTGGATTATATCAAGTTTATTCTGCTTTTCCTCAAGACCGAGGATGAAATTTGTTTAATGTCATGTCCTCTGATGAGTCAATTGGGTATCTATTATATTTGGATTTCAGTTACCTTTATAGCTTCTGGAAATTTTCATTTAAAACATGTGAATGCATTAGTTTAACTACCCCTTTCTTAGATAAAGTAATAATTTAAAAAATTGCCTAACAGTAGATAACAGTAGTTAAAGCAGATGTATATAATGTCAATGTAATACAAAGCTTTGTTGCACTGACAAAACCCTAAAACAAGAGTTGTTCTCTAGGAGACCCTAGAACAGGGGTGTCAAATTGCCGGCCTGCGGGCTGGATGCGTCACACCAAAACCGCACCCACCCCATTGCCGGCAATGGGAAAAAAGTTGTGATATGTTGCGAAACGTCATGTGACGTCATGAATTTGACACCGGTGCCCTAGAAAATGCTTCAGGAATTCCATAAAAAGAAGTGGGAGACTTTGTGCTGCATGTAGAGCAGAAGTAAAAGTTTATGAAGCATGTCCAAATTATTAATATAAAAATATTGTCCCTACTACCCTCATAAAAGTATAATGAAGAATGCTAAAATTCACTAAAATACATCTAAAACACAAATGGATTCACTACAGTCGGCATCATGACATTAAAAATCTCTTACAGCTATATGGAAACATTCAACCTTAGTTTCAACTGCGAAACTGACCATCCTTAACCAAGCTAAATTGAAAAAATGCTAGGAATTCCTGGAAGCCTAGAATTCAGACAAATCAGCCTTTGCTGAACACATAGAAATAAAGTATATTTCTGCTCCATTCAAAAGAGACAATAAAAAAGCTAAGAAGGAAATAAAAAAACCCAAAACATCCTCTCCAGCAATCAACACCCAGATAAACAGGGATTAAGGTAAAGGTAAAGACTTTGCCTCTCCGGTTGTGTCTGACTCTAGGGGGCGGTGCTCATCTCTGTTGCTTAATCAAGGGAGCCAGCATTATCCAAAGACATTTCCATGGCCATGTGGTCAGCAAGATTATATGCTAAAGCGCATGGAATGCTATTACCTTCCCAACGAATTGTTATCTATTTATCTACTTGCATTTGCATACTTTTGAACTGCTAGGTGGGCAGGTGCTAGGGCAAGCAATGGAAGCTCATCCCATCGCACAGCGCTCAGATCTCGAACCTGGGCTGTCAGCTTTCCAGATGAAAAGCTCAGCATCTTTAACCATTGAGCCATCAGACCCCTAAACAAACAGGGATTAATACCAGACAATCAAGCAAAATATAATACCCAAATCAAGGAACTAGATATAGAGAAACCCCCTCCCCCATCAAAATTGGCAAGGGCAAGCTACTGTATATAAACAGGGAGCAAATCTCACACTCACACTGATGAAATTATCTACCTGGGTAATGAAACATCTGCAAGTAAAATCAAGCTTAAAGAGTACTAAAGACTCCACATTAAAATACCCTTTGTACATTAAAGCTTCTAAAATTAAAATTACCTTGAGAGAAGATGGACAGCCTATAAATTTTACAAACAAATAAATAAAATCTGACTTAAGTAAGCATCTGGATATTGACATGATTCTCTAAAGGAGGTGGGGAAATTACTTAAAAGGATAATTTCTACCGTGCTACTTTTTTTTTTTACTTTGATGGATAGGACTATAACTGAGGCTTGGTAAGTAGATCCCAGCAGATAATGGCACAACAATGGGGTTTCATGAAAGGCTTTAAAAAAACAATATGATAATTTCAATTGACATAGAAACTAAGTGGAATCTATTGCAATAGCTGCTAAATGATTGCTAAATAGATTAAACAAGCTAACCTTCCTGACAGAACACAGATATTTTTGTATGAGCTGAAGCTTCCAATTTGTGTATCTTTTAATAACCTTAATCTAAAATATTTCAACTTTCTCTTCTGTGTGATCATATTGAGTATAACACCATGGGAGCATTATATAAACTATGTAACTGAAATGTTCTTTAAAATGTTCTTTATCACCACATTTACTGTTCTATTGTATTAAAGCTACTTAATATAAGATAGCGCTATCAATATTTAAAAGTGCTCTGATCCTAAAAAAAATCCTGTTACATATTAGGATGGTTTCCATTCAACAAAATATTCTTAAATATTAGTGCCATCTAGTGTGTTAATGCTATAATAAGCTAGTAACATAAAATACTATGTAAAACATATACATCCATCATATATGGGACCCATATTAACATTATATGAACTATATTGTCTGTTACTCCATAATTAAGTCTCTATTCTCAACAACCTTTCCTAAACAGGGTGATAACTGTCAATGTGGCTATGTTAAGAGGTGGCTTTTTAGAGTGTATACTAAGTGTTTCACGGCCAAAGAGGTATGTGGCACCTTTCAAATCCAGTGGCACATGTCATGCCTGATCATTGCAGGACCTGGAGGAGCATGAATTTAACTCACAGGTGGCAGAAATCATGATATGGAAGAGTCTGTCTTCTTCAGGTTCCACAGACTCAAAGGAATTGCAAATGGACACTTGATGTCGCTTAGCCCACATTGCTGTCAAATTGGCATCCAAACAATAGCAACTTTATCCACAAGGAAATTCACAAATTCATTTTTCCCTCCCCATAAAAGGGCTATATCACTCTGAACAGAGTCATGAGATAGGAATGCATACACACATTAAACGCAAATAAATGTTTACTGTTTTTATTGCCACTGAATATGCTCAAACATGAATTCATACTAGAATCTAGTTGTGTCCTGTTTTTCTGCCATTCTTATTGGCTAGCCTATTTAGAATATAGTTGCCTGTGTATTAATTGGTAATTAGGAAGAAATGAGAGAAAGGAAGACTTTAAGGTTTTAAAGTCAGAGTTGTTCCTTGGCAGCCTACCCTCCACCCTCAACATACATTTGTAACTGTGCTCTATAACCGGCAGGGAGAGACCTGTTAAAAAAAGATTTAGAGAAAAGGAGCAAACTACTTAATGAGAAATATTACATTCACTGAGTTTAAAATGCCCATTTTCAGGAGAAAGAATAGAAACTGTGGATGGTAGAGAAGAAAATGAATGAAAAACTCTGGAAAAAAACATGATCAAAAGCTCAGTCAGTATTCCTAAAGAAATATTTACACCGAAAAACTACAGATTCCAGCTATACCTAATAAATTGTTATTAAAAGCCATAATAGTTTACCTCAACTGACTGTGATTTTGCATCATGGCGATGAGGGGATCGAGGGTAAATATCCAGAAGGTGAGGTGGATCATCACTATGTAGTCTTTGCATATGCTTTTCCAGAACTTTCTTATATTCAGATGCATCAAAATTTGTCTTCCAGAGCAGCACCTGTAAGAAATTTGCTAGTTTCATGAATGCAGTTTTTTCATTTGGTAATTAAACATTTAACTGAATATTTAGTTTATAGTAAAGCAACAAGACATATAGTATAATTTAACTAAAGGGAAAATTTGCTGACTAAAAACATCAGACAATAATTTTATAATCAACATACTTGAAAAATATATTCCTCTAAATTTGATAATAAAATATTAATTTAGTGAACTTATTGAGAAGTGTTATTTATTAAGAATGTAACTATTTTAACAAACCTGTGTATCTGTGCCACCAGAAGCAAATGTCTCCCCATCTTTTGAAAAAGCTACAGAAAGCACCGGGCCCTAAATTTTTAAAAAAGAACAAAGGGGAACAAGATAAATATATATTTTAAAAGGCATAATCTTTTAGTTTTTTTATACTTTCTCCCTTCTTATTTAATCATCCTAAATTGCTAATAAACAAGTAATATGTAATGGTTAAGCATATTTAGTTGGCATATTATGCATGCAATATTTGTCCAATTGATATTTTTTAACTGATTATGTGCCATTAAGTTATTTTTGATTCATAGGAACTACATAGTGCTGGGTGTTTGCATAATTTGTTCAAATTAGGATAATTAAAGATATAGCTCCAGTATAATTGCCACAGGTTTTCATTACACTAACTTTATTATTCCATGGATAGAAATTAATTTTTATGATGAAAAGAACAAGGTCTTAAAAGCAAGTCCAAAAATAGAGATTGTACCTCATGCCCATGAAGTGTGTATAAGAGTCTTCCTTCTACAAGATCCATTATCTTAAGAGTTCCATCACTAGATGCTGTTATGAGAAAGTTACCAGAAGGATGGAAAGATGTGTAATTAACACTTGCCCTGTGAACTGATTTAAATAAAAGTAGTTCAGATATTGATGCAAAAAAAAGTTCTGAAACAAAACAACAATATAATAACATTGCTGACCACCAACACAAACTAAGAATAACAATAAAGCTTACCTCCAGGATATGGTGCACAGGGTTGTATCCTATGACTGATATTTTTAAAATGCAGTTCTAGTAAGTACTGTTTTTTCAGGTTTTAACTAGCTTTTACATCACTGTATCTATCATTCTCCTTCAATGTTATCCTTTACAAGTATGCAAAATGCTTTGAGTTTGGAATGTCTCATAACTAAGTTACACTCACACCAAGGGCTCTGTAACTGACTAAATTTATAAAGGGCTATCCTGAATTCCACTTTCCTATCCATATTATCTAGAGTTCCTACAATAGCTTATTTTCATTGCTATTGTTCAAAAAGTCTGCTTATTTAAGTTTTCCTGTTCTTCTTCATTCTTCTGCTTCACTAATCAGTTATTTCAATTTTTACATTCCAGATCATTTGATAGATTTTGATTTGGAAAAAGACAAATTTATTCTGTTATATGTTGCTGTTCTATATTGTACACACTGCAGGATTACAGAATTATTAACATTCCACCAACATTTAGAATGGAGGTACAAACCTGAGCCCCAGAATACACACCAATATGAATATATAGCTATTTAAACAATCCTGTTTCTGCCAAGCAGAACTTTTGAATCCAATATATAAGGAACTAGGCTTGGAATATTCATTAAGTATTCCAAAATTCTGCACAGCTAAATCAGTCCCCAAACATGTAAGACAGTATACGTTTATACTTGTTTTTTCTGCTAAGCACTCAAGCCATTTCCTAGCCCTAAGAGAGAATTGTAAAAATTAAAATACTTATTTAAAAAAACTAGAGAAAATTGAAAAATAAAGTGAGAAATGGGCAAGGCTACCAATGAAACTTCAAAGTTTGCAAAAGAAAAGCCAACATAATTTCTGAGAGAGAAAAAACTGTGTACAAAAGCAGGTACATTTGTGATTGTAAGAGAAATATGAGATTTTCTGATTTTGGGGCCTCATTAACTGTACACTGAACCCCTTTAAATAAAGAATGGGTAATTTACACAAAAAGTAAAAGTAGCTGGAGTACTGGGTGAAAGTGATTACGTAATGATACAGTTCTTCATTTTAAACATTAAAACTAATCTAGTCTAATACATTTATTGAATTTCTTTTAAAAAAGAGTTTAATGCATTCAGAGCAGGCATAAGAGGAATTCTGTGGCAGAAGAAACTAAAGGGCAGAAAAAAAGCTAAAAATGGGTGGGAGTTCCTAAAAAAGAAGATACAAAAAGCACAACTACAATAGAAGACCTGGAGAGAGCAGAAGAAAGCTTGTATCTGAAGAATTAGATAATTAGTCTTTTAACACCGAAATTACAAGACTAATGTTTGGAATGTCTGTAACCAACACATCCAAAAACAATACATGAAAAACTGAGTGCTTTATTAAGTCATTACCTCTTTATTCAAGAAAGAATATTAATATTTGATTAAAGATATGTGATTCTACTGCCATCCTGTGGTCTTAAAAATCATTACCATTCAGTTTTTATGAGGTGTAGTATAATTTAATCTTTAAATCTACAAAATACCATACCTTAATTGGAAATTTTCTAAAACAATCATCAGCAATACACAGACTAAATAGCATTTCAGACTATGAAAAGGAGAAAGGAGGCATGGGTAAAAGAAAGAAGTGCCATGGCACCAGCCCAGGATCTCTCCCACCAGTGAAGAATGCAAAACAACTAAAAATTGAGGAGCACTTTGCTGGCAGGAGACTTGTAAGTAAAACTATCCCCCCCCCACTTCATTTCCAATAAACCGGAGAGATTAGAACGGGACCTGCAAAGAGATCTGAAAAAACAGCAGATACTGGACTTTCCCGATCTGGGGGGAGGGGAGCAAAATGATAGCCAGCTATTTTCACAAACAACGGGTCCAGCTACAGCTGGCATGGAGACTAAGATAAAGACTAAAAAGGTTAACAACAACAATCTAATTCAGAGTAGGGAGAGCTTACTGTGGGAGAATACAACAGAGTTTATGGCAAAGCAATGTCTTCTCACAGCGCAAACAGTAGTTTCAATATTTGAACAACTAATAACCATTCAACATGATGTGGAGACACTGAAAAAAGATATAGCTGTTCTTCTCCAAGCACAACATTGGGCTATGGGCACCCCCACTGAAGTCCTTACAGCTGACCTGGGTAAATCCAATACTCAGGAGAGGGAAGAAAAAAAAAGAGGAAAATGAACACAGACCCTGGGAAACAGATAAAGAACCTGCTAAAAAGTGGCAGCCCACTCAGAAAAATAGTCCTTCTCCAGCTAAGGCAACAAGAGGAGGAGGTATTAATAGAGAAGTTTCATGGGAAGACAATAAAGCATCCCACCTACAATTACACCAATCATATCAATCACATCGCTCACTACAAACACATCAGGTTGGCTGAGAATCCACATGAACAGGCTTAATCATGGTCGCTGGAATACCAAGAGTGCTATACTAAATTCCCTAAGCCAGCTTCTTCACTGTCACTGGGGGCAGATTGATCTACATACTGCAGAGTGGCTCCCTGAGGCCCCAAATTGGAAGCGGATATTTCTCTCCTTTAAGCAGCCCACCATACCGCTGATGCTATTTAAGATGAAGGCACATCTAGCCTCCTTTCAAATCTCTCCCATCAGAGTTTTCTACAAGGAAAGGGTTAAACCCTTAATTGTTAACATGTGAGCTCCCAAGGTTGCTGTCTCTTCCGCATTCTCAACCCTGGGAAAGGGAGAGGGAGAAAGTGGGAGTAAGCCAGCCCCATTCGGTGAAGATGTACTTAATAGCACAGAAACTGGTCTTATTAATGCTTTTGGCGCTCTCCCAAGGAGTGAACAAGATAATATATTATTCAAGTTAGAAAACCTAAAGAAATCCTTATTGGTCACAACTGATACGTCTGAACCGCTTATTGATTTGGTTTCCCCTATAATTGAGCCTCTTACTTCTCCCCCAGGAGGCAAGAGTTTGCAAGAATATGAGTTCATCGAAAGCAGAAGCCAAGATACACAGGGGCCAGTAGAGGTCCCAATAGAGAAGGAGATGTTAGCATCCTTATGTGACTTCCTGATGATACCTTCTGCACCACATCAAGAAATCGAGAGAGGATTCATGTCAGTGCCATCATTTCAAAGCCGAATAGAGCATGACCTAATAACCCCTTGCTCTACACCTAGAGAAGAGGCTCCGGAACGGCAAGCCTTGTTAGCTGGTGCTAAATCTTCTTACCTGGAACAAATTTCCCAGGAGTCTACACAGAATTTTGATGGGGCTCCCCTCCTTTTAGAGAAGGCCAATTTCGTGTGTGACGACACCTCAAGCCATTGCAACAACCCCACAACTTCCCTTTGTATAAATCAAATCTCCTGATGAACTGCAAAAGATAAGCCCCTCTCCATTATAATCTGGAATATAACCTGGTTGGTCTGTGCCATCAAAAGACCAACATTGTTTTGACTATATACAGTATCACAATTTCACATTCTCTTTTTACAGGAAACCTGGGCCTCTACAAAGATACAGTTAGATGGTTACTGGGGTAACTCTATCCCGGCAGTCCCAAGTAAGGTGGGTGGGAGAGCTAAAGGGGGCATTGTGACATTAGTGAATACATCTTTGCATTTTAAATGTGTACCGCTGTCACCTCTTCAGCCATGGGTTGTGACTACCCTACTTTTATTCAAACAGGTGGAGATTTTGCTTTTTAATATCTACATTCCTCCGCTCAACAAGAATAATCTGATCAATAAGATCTGGGATGGTATAGAAGATTTTATCCTGGGCTGCTTAGACAAATACCCCACAGCAGCAATAATTATTGGGGGGGATTTAAATGCTAGGATGGGCCCAAACGATCAAGCATTATTTAATCAATTTAAGATCCACTATGATGAGAATGTACCAGGAGAACCCCTGCATTCCAGACAATTTAAAGACACCAAGGCAAATCGGGCAGGTCTGTGTGTAAGACAGATGACTGCACGCATGGACCTTTGTATCCTTAATGGTTCCACATGGGATGACCATCCAGCAGATTATACATATCGGGGAGCAGGAAGAACATCCACAGTTGATTATTGGATAATATCATATGACCTCTTGATGTTCCTGCAGAAGATGGAGGTAGACTCATGACTGGAAAGCGATCACGATCCACTAATCCTTACTTTTACATTACACCAGAAACTGCTAAGGGCTGGCTCAACCTATCTACCCAGGTTAGAGAACCAAAATACCCAGATAAAAATTAAATGGACAGAGAAAAATGAAAAGGAAGTTACTAAATGGATGTTAGCCCCAGAAACCATAGAACTACATACATCTCTATTAAGGAATAAGTTTGAAGGATCATACTTAGAGGGGTTTGAAACTTTAATTTTAAATTTGAAATCGGTTCTCACTAACAGAATACTAGTTCACCCCCAAAAGCCGGTTTTAAAGAATAAAAAATGGTTTGACAGGGATTGCGTGCAACTAAAAAAAAACATATAACAACAAATACAGAAAAAGTAAAAATGCCCCTTCTGAGGATTACACTCACTGCTTAAAGCAGATGAAGGCACAATATAAGACTTTTCTAAAAGCAAAGAAAAGGGCGGCTCTGAAGGAGTCTTGGCATAGACTAATTGCATCAGTCAGGACAAAAAATACATCCCTTTTTTGGCACATCACCAGAGGATTGGGGAAATCCCCCCTACCTCCAACTAATCAGGTACCGATTCTGGGAAGAATATTTTAGAGAGCTATATGCAGACCCCGGCTATGTAACTAATGAGAGCCAAATTAATTTGGACCAAACCCCTTACTGGCCCCCTGTTACACCAGGCGAGATATCCCGGTTGATTGGAACCCTCAAGGCTAATAAGGCACCTGGTGCTGACAATGTCCTGCCAGAAATAATAAAAAATAATCCCAGTTGGTGGGCTCCACTTTTAGCATCTCTGTTTACATTTATAGATAGAACGGGCCATATGCCAAGAGATTGGGGATTAGCAATTATCATACCAATCTATTAAAAAGGTAGTAGAAATGACCCAGGCAATTATAGACCCATTAGTCTTCTGAGTTATTAGTAAAATGTATGCCAAATACCGTATATACTCGAGTATAAGCCGAGTTTTTCAGCACATTTTTTGTGCTGAAAAATGCCCCCCTCGGCTTATACTCGAGTCAGCGTCTCGAGAACTGAGGAAAGTGAGTACCGCAGTTCTTTTTGGGGGAGGGAGGGAAGTCTCCTGCTCGGCCGCTTGCTTGACTTGCAGCCGATTTCCGGGGAAAGCCTCTTTACAGCAGGCTGCCTTTGGGAAGCGCTGCCTCCTTCCATTCATCTCTTTGCTGCTGGAGAAATTTGCAATTGCCCGTGCGAGAGGCAGACGACAAGGAGAGCGGAGTAGCTGCCTCATTTCCCACCCTAGG